CCCCTTTCTATTAGGATCCCCCTTCCTAAATGAATGAGATGGGGAGGTTCCACTTGCAGGTTTGAATGACAATTCATTAGTTTATTTTTTAAGGATTTTTCCTAGGTGACCAGAGATTTTGTAAATGTTAGTTCATTTTCTGACTAATAGTACTTCTAGAATTCTCACCCTATGAGGGGCCTGAGAGAATTAATTAGCCTGTGTGGTTTAGAACTGATTTGATGAAGAAAATTATTTCTGAGATATCAAAGATCTGTTAATTCTTTTAGGCAGGAATAAAACTTGTCTCTTCCTCCACTAATTGATTTTATCAGAAAGATAACACGTGATTTAGGTATCAGTACCCCACTCTTCTTTCCATTCATGTTTCATCTTTTGTATATCTAGAGCTCAGTACACCCTACTGCTGAAGAAATAGTTAAATTTTCATTCACTACAAATGCCCAGGAGTCATAAATTCCTATGCATACTTGGACAAGTAGGAAATGCAAATAGGTGAGAAGACTGGGTGTAAACAAGAGATAGAGGGGTCTGGTGAACTCGTCCATACAGTTACTCAGCTTCAGAGATTTTGATGATGCAGAAATGTGATTTTAGAGTTGTAAGATATTCTAAGGTTTTCAAGAGAAGTCAGAAGTGTATTGGGGTGGGGAGTGGGGGGTAATAAAGCTGGGCAGGTGTCGGGGGGCGGGGAGAAGAGGGGAGAGGAAGTTTCCTTGATTTTTAAAACACTGTGATGGAAACACATCTATGGCCCAGGTTTGGCCCATGGGCTACCAATTTATAATCCCTGATAAAAATCATCATCTTCAGATGTGTTGTAAGTTTTTTTTCCTTGTATTAATGCACTATCATCAAGGTAAAATGATTTGCATTTTTACAGGCATTAGCACTAACTTTTAACTACAGTATGGGCAATGGTGATCAAGCAGGGCACACGTTTCTTCTACATATGTATCTTAACAATAAAAATGAAACCATACAACCAGAAGGTACTGCTGTCTCAAGACATGAGAGTAGCTTCACTAGTGTTGTGATTTGAAATAACTGTATTCTAATAATCTCTGTGACTTACACAACACAAGTTTATTTCTCACTCATTCTGTGTCCAACATGGTCACCAGGATAGCTGTATTTGTTATTGTCACTCAAAAGTTTAAGCCAAAAGAAGGTTCATTTCACCAAGTACTTCTGCCATCACTAAAGTAGGAAAAGAAGACATAGGAAATCCCATACGGTTCCTAAAGCTTCTATCCAGGAGAAATATGTACAACTTCTGTTTTTGCTTATTTACCTTAAAGTTTACCTAAAGAAATTCCTGAAAATATAAATTTTAGGTAGAACTTAAAAAAGAAGAGTTGGGAGGGAAAAGCTTTATGATTTGGCATAATATTTATTGATCTATATTTGGTTCCTGACTTTGGATACATGTTTTTATGTGCATTTTCTGACTTAAACCTCACAACAGTCTTATGTGTGGGTATGAGCTAGGTGATACTCCCATAACAAATATCCTCACAATCTCTGTGACTTAACACAACCCAAATTTTATTTCTTATTTATTCTATGTGTCCATCAGAAGATATAGTAAAGACTCTAAAAAAATCATGTGTTTGCAAAGGAATAGACAAACAAATCAGTGGAACTGGATGTAGAACCCAGAAATAAATTACAAAAATTAAAGATAATAATCCAAATCTGTGGGGAAAGGTAAAATGTTTTTAAATGGTATAAAAGGATCAAGTTGAATTCATATATAAAAAATAATTTCAAGAGGATTAAAAACTTATATAGATAAAAAATTGAACTGAGAGTAGCTTAGTAGTAGAGCACATACTTAGCACATGCAAGGCCCTGAGTTCACTCCCTAGCACCAAAAAAGAAAAAAGAATAGACATTCTTCAAAAATGTACATGTATGGGAGAATCTCCAATAATTAAGACAGTAAACCTAGAAGCTAAAAAAGAAAATATGTGTATATTTAGCTATCTTAAGATGCATACAAAAAAATACAATTCATAGAGGAGCATAACCAGATGGTCTACAAATTTACAAAAAGACATTTAAATTCACTAGTGTTTAGGGAAATGGGTAATACAGTAACAATAAGGTTTATGATCCTCAGTTTGGCAAGAATAAAAGAGTGATAACATCCATTTTGGTATGACTGCAGGGGGGAAATGGTGCTCTTGTTGAGAATGAGAATTGTTATAATCACTTTTGGAAAACAATCTGGCAACATTTATTGAAATTAAGTGTTCATATAACTTTGACTTAGAATTCATACCTTTGGAAAACTACTTATAAAAATAAAAACCCTAGAACACAGGGACGCATAGCCAAGGTTAATCCCAACATATCAGAAAACTGAAAACAAAGTAGATCTCAGTACATGTACAGCATATAAGTAGGTAGAAAATGAAGTAGAACTATACTGTTAACTTGGGGGGATTCTTCTGAGATATTTTCTATTGAAAACTAAAAACGTAGAAAAGGGTATATAATATGATCTTGTTTTCCTAAAACCCTATGCATAGCAATGTATATACATATATAGGTATACAAATCCATACTATATCCATGGACATAAAGTCATAGATAAGGATATATAAGTACATGGATAAAATATGCAAAAATAGAGGCTAGTTTGATAGCATGGGTTATGATGGGGGTGGAAGGAACAGGAAAAGAGATGGGAAAGGAGGAGTTTTACCAAAAGGTGAGAAGAAAAAATAGTCTATACAAAAAAAACCCAACATGTATGCTATAATCCCATTCATTTGTTAATGCAAAGATTTATATATAGTGTATATACATAGTTTCTGAATATGATAAAAATGCAAACCTGTGTGTATAAGAACAAAGGAAACATTAAACTAATGTTACTTGACTATAATTTAGGCAAGATTGAGAGAGGTCCATCACTTATACTGTCACACACTAGGGAGGACTTAAACTTTACCACCTGATGGTGGGTGCTTCCCAGATGATAGCATCCACATAGGCAAAGCTTCCCTTTTGTGAAAGGATACTAATGTGGCTGTGTATTGTTGAATCTTTAAAGAATATGGCTCTGTGTCAGCCAGATCCACTTATCCCTACTCTTCAGTTTTGTCAGAGAAAATAACCTCAAATTCAGATTTCATATTCCCATCACTTTGTCTTTACTAATGATCTAAACCTCTAAGGCCTCACTGTTGATACAGCAAGAACATTTGACTCCGTCTAGTGCCAGTCCAGCAGTACACACTCAATGACTTGGGGCAAGTCATTTTGTTTTCTACAGCCATCTTCTCATAATCTCTAACATATGATCTCAGAAAGCCCTATTCTTTTGCTTAATAGCACTTAAAAATCTGTAATTGTATGTGTATGATTATTTGTCTGATTGCTTGTCTCTCCCACTAAAGCATAATCTCTATATGGATAGGAACAATATACTGTAGACCTAAGACCTAGCGTGGCAACTGGTGCAAACTCGCATTCAGTACAAGTTTATTGATTTAATGAATGATAAATATATAAAATGAAAGAAACAAACTCAAATATTCCACCAGCTCTAACCATATATGATTTTATAAATATGAGGAAGCTTTGATTTTTGAAATCAGGCTGTAGTTCTGTCCATTTGCCCAGACATCATTTAATAGATTAAATGCTTAAGTGAGGGTGATTGTTCTATACAGTTACTCTGAAAAAAAATTGAGGTACTAATCATCATCTCATATATTTTAAAGGGAATGCAAGATACCATTTAACTCATAGCTTTGCCCCTTAGCAGAACTACAGTTCAACAAGATAAATATTTGCTGTATATTTCAAAAAGATTTCAATCTCCCTTTCTATATTTACCTGGATCTTGACAAACAAAACATGGAAGGAAGAGGATTTAGAACTATCTAGTCCAGTGATTTTCAAACCATATTTTAGCAGTAGAATCCTGTTTTTTCAAAAAGAAATCTTACCTAGAATATGAATAGGTCAATATTTATATCTATCTAAATAGATAACAGGGAGGAAAGGAAGGAAGGAGGGAGGGAGGGGGGAGGAGAAGGAGRAAATATATTCCTCAGTGGAAATGAGAAAAGGAACTACAGAAACCTCCCTCTCAGGCTTTGGTCCTAATATTCATATTGGGCTCCTGATTCACTACCCTTGCTGCCCCCACTGCCCCCTCCACCTGTTCATCCTGACCATGGGTACCCCCTAATGCATCATTAAGACCAGCAGTCTGTAAATAGGTTGAAGGACTATCTTCTGAAAAATAAGGAAACTAAGACTTGCATCATATTCTCCTTTAGATTTCCAGATTCTTCTTGCCAAAAGTAAACCCTTTACTCTTTGTTTCCTGATAGTAGATTATTCTGTACAGTCTTCCTCAAAAGACTCTTACACAGATTACATTATCATTGTTTCTTATTATAGTGAAACAGCATAATTTAATTTTTTCATATAGTTTTATTTCAAYAATTCTTTTAAAATATAAAATTTTTATAAGTACTGCTTTCCAATTACAAGAAGCAGAAAATTTAAAGAATGAAAAATAATATTGACCTTTATAATTACATGCTTAAATTTTTATCATGTTTATTGTGAAGCCACAGAGGTGAATTAAAAGAGGATATCATTACACATTATAAAATGAAACAAAAATCTCCTTATCCAAATGGAGAGGATGTAGACGTGGTTACTTAATATAAAGCAAAAGCTATGTCTATCAAAGAACAGACTTGCAGTTATTGATCTGGAATTGGCACGATGACAAACTGCTCTGCAATTCTTCCTCTTCCCAATTAAGGTGTCTCTCTTGAACTGATTGAAAGCTGTTTGATAAGTATACTTTTTTCAAGATGGTGTGCTCAGTTGGGGGTCTTTTTATTAAACTGAAATTCCATCATTAGCTTTGACTAGCACCAGCTGCTGTATAAATTCTGTGTTGATGTAGACCTCCACTGGTATTCCAAATATTGCAGGTGAATCTCTGACTCCAAAATCTTCAATCATGCAGTATGAATAATTAACATCTGATAAATGCAGAATAGAAAGGACTCTCATTATAAGACATGATACTGGGGTCACAATCCCACCTTCATTCCTCAGAACACTAAACCAAAGAGGATTTTAGTTGTAAAAAAATATAGTGTTTAAATCTTTCCACTTCCTAATCTTTCCCTATTCTTACTTAGAAACGAAAAGTTAGAACATAGATGAAATGTCTATACCTAATCAGAAACAAAAAGTTAGAACATAGATGAAATGTTTTAGTTTTATAGAAAAGTTAAGACACAATCCAAGCTCCTGCACGTTCTGGTGTTTACCTGAAGGCCCTTATTCCAGATAAATTCCCATGCATATGAGGCCCATGATCCTTCTCATGTCTATCACTTTTTGGGGGGAGGTGGGGGGTGGAGAGGATTGAACCAGGGTCTTGTGCATGCGAGGCAAGCACTCTATTAACTCATCTATATCCCCAGCCCCCGTGTCTATCACTTTTAATATAAAAGAGAAACTCTATTCATATATCTAATACTTCTAGGAGGTAAATAGTAAAAAGATATAGTAAAAAAACAGGACAGTTCCTTACAATATTGAATTTATAAAAGCATTTACCTTGTGTGCAAGGTGTGCCAAGTAAGATTTTTCCTAAATGTATTAGTTGTGTTACAGAAGATATATTTTAAACCAGTTGTAAATTTGAAACCATGAAATAACAAAAAACATTAAAATAAAACATGTCATGATCCGTGGTAAAGAACAGAATGTTCAAGAGTTCAATTCCTGAGCCTTAGTTTCTTCATATGTACAATGGGGATATTAGTAAGTATCAGATTTGGGAGATTATTTTTAAGCACTGAGACTATGCACATATAGTATTTAGTGTAGCACAGTGTATTTGTTTTCTATTTCTTCATAAAAAAAATTACCACACCCTTACTGGCTTAAAACAACAACCATTTTTTATTTCATAGCTTTTGTAGGTCAGGGAATGAATTAGACAGGTCCTCCACTCAGGGAATCACAAGGTTGCAATCAAGTGTCTCCTGGTTTGTATTCTCATTCAGTCTTGACTGAGGAAGGTACCCCTTCCAAGTCCACTTATGTTCTTGACAGAATCATTTCTTTATGGCTCTAAGACTAAGAATCCAAGCTTCTGCCCCAGTTTCTTCATCATGTGGGCTTTCCCAACATGGCTGCTTACTTCATCGAGCCAGCAAGGAATATAAAATAAGTCTTCTAGCAAGACAGAGCCTTACATTATGTAACACAATTACAGGAAAGACACCCCATCATTTTTACCATAATGTTGGTTAGAAGCAGGTCATTAGACTTGTCCACACTCAAAATGTGAACATCAGGAAGCAGGGATCATTGAGGGTCATCATTGAGTCTGTGGCCACCTATAGTAAATGAAAACATGTGAATTTGTGAGTGAATGAATAAAAGAGTGAGTGAAACTAGGTGTGAATGATGTTAAGTCATATGCCTCTTGAACAACAGAAAACAGAAAATTGTTCTGAATATAGGATAAACAGGTGAACAATAACCTGAACAACTTTAGTTATAACAAGTATTCAACCTTCTGTTAAGGAAGAATGATAGGGAAGAAGTACCAGGGCACTGGGGCTGGGGATCAGTGGGAGAGTGCTTGCCTAGCACATGCGAGGCGCTGGGTTTGATCCTCAGCACCACATAAAAATAAATAAATAAAGATATTGTGTTCAACTACAACTAAAAAAAGAATTACCGGGCATGAGCTTTGGAGTCCAGAGAATGTCAGAGTGGTGGGAAATGGAACCCTAAAGGAAGAATACAGCTTTTAGTCCCACTTTAAAGTGATAATTTCTACAATTAGAGCAAAAGGAGAAATAAGAAATAAAACTAAATAATAAAATATAGATATATAACATTTAAAGCCTAAGCAATAAAAAATTAACAAAACAAAAAAAGTTCACCATAAACAGAAAATAGTTATCATCTCCAAACATATAGATATCACTACCAATATCCCCAGTGGATAAATGGGTAGAGAATATGATTATATGATTCTATCAGAGGAAATATGAAAGGTAAAATAAATTTAAAAAGTAGTTTAAATCTAATATAGATGGGACAGAGACAGTACAAACAACAACAACAAAAATTTAAGTACCAAACCATAATTTTTACTTCTCTAACTGATTACCTCAAGATGAGAGATCAAACAAGGAAATAAACTGCATTTGTATTATTCACCAAACACCTAGCAAAACTTGCAACTCACCCTGAGCAGATGAATATTTGATGATAATTAATTCACAGGTAGTCAGTGGTAAGAGAGTATGGATGACTGCTGTCCTCAGATAATCAAAAACAAACTTCTTTTCAACATCATAGGTTCATATTAACATGAAGCTAACGTGGGGGTGGAGGGAAATTATTTAGAATTCTTCCAAATTTACTTTAATCCTCTGGTGGCTGGAAAACATAAAACAGATACAGATCAGACTCAGGAAGAACAAGAACACTATGCAAATGGACCAGATTCTCCACAGGAAGAGATTCTGCTAAAGGATAAAGTTAGGGTCTCTACTTAAACATTCTTATGACAATGCTTTGGTTTCTGCCAACCTCCTTCCTTGTGGCTTTGGCACTGTTCCTGCACCTGGAACAGGAGTGGTAACAAAGGAAGGTGTTCTGCTTTTCCCTCTCCCCTAAGCTTGTACTGGGTAGACTGGATATTAGTTTTTATGCCAATGATAATATGCCCAATATATTTGTTTACAGTTATCATCAGATCTTTTCATGTCCAGGAATGGAAAGTCCAATGGTTAAATGAATAATAGTAAATTAAATATTTTTTTGTTGTTAATGTTATTTTTATCTTCAATGGGAGTGTGGCAGACAGAGATGGGTTTGTCCCTGGAATATAGATGGTCTCTTTAGTGATGTCAGGGAGGGCAGGCCCTTATGAGACAGCTGCAACACAGAGTGAGTGGAGGAGACAGCCACAGAAGCACAGTACCTGGCGGTGCTAAGTGACAAATGGGCAGCACCTGGTGTCTGAAGTCTGACAGCTATGGTTAGGGCCTGTGGTTTCCAAACAGAACTCCAAGCTGACTAGCCACAAGAGATTTCTGTAAGCTCTTCAAACCAGTGCCTGCCACCTTCACTGATTTGGGGCAGGATTAGTCTGGGGCCTGAATCAGGGCTGGGGGGACAAAAAAGAGATATGGCAAATGTGAGTGAAGAGGAAAATGAGGAAGGAAGTTAGAGAGCCCAGCACATGGTAGTTACAGTACCTTTCTGAGAATTGCCACTTGTTATGCTCTGGAAAAGAGGAGGGAATAGATTACAACAGAGACCTTCAGAGGGAATGGGCACACCACACATTCATTCTTTACATTTGGCCCAGGTGAAGATTGAATGTCCCAGCTGGTCCCCTCTGATCTCTTCCCCTCCCTCAGGCTGATCCTCTAAATTATCTCGACTCTTTACCTCGATTCTTCAGAGGTCCATCCCTGGGGTAATAACCCGTATTTGCACTCAGTGAATCTTCAACATGCATGCCGCATCATCAGCACATCTTCCTTGGACTGTGAACTTCTATGCAGTGACCAGATCTATGTAGTTCTCTTAACAGAGTATATAACACTATAAACAATTGCAGGGTTGATATTTTTAAGATGAAGAAGCTAATACTACTTATAAAAATGTAAAAAGAGAGATTCATAAAGCCATTCTTTTTTTCTTTCTTTTTTTTTTTTATACAGTACTGGGAATTGAACTTGAGGACTCATCCATGCTAGGCAAAGGCTGTACCACTGAACTACATCCTCAGCACCAGCCATTCTTTGTGTGTGTGTGTGTGAAAGCTCAATTGAACCTGAAAAATTAGTACTCTGTTGGTGAGAAAACAACATCATCTCCAATTCTTAAATTGAAACTRGCTTTCTTATGCTTTTTAAAATATTTGCCATCACAGTCCCACTTCCAGAAGCCTAGTGTAAGGGAATGATCAGCAAAGCAAAGAAAAATGTATGTGTAAACACATGCAAACCTATGTGTCTAAGTATGGGAAGATGGCCAAGTRAAACTTGGAACACCTGTAGGAAAAAGGAATATCTGGCAGTTATCAAAAATCACAGTTAATAACTTTAACAGGAAAATGCTTACATTAAAATAGCAAGTGAAAAAAGTACAGTATGTTTTCAACTATGTTTTTCTAAAGCACTGGAAAGAAATATACCAAAATACTAAAAAAACAACCACTACTGCCTCCCAATAATGGTGAGGAGGGGTTCTAAATGATGACAGAAATGGCTTATGTGTAAGCAATGAGGAAACAGGATGTGTCAAATGGAGCTAAATGAAGGGAAACTTAATTGTTTTTTGAATGCTGTGTGAAAGTCCTGAACAGAGTATCTAATGCCATTAATAATTGTTTTTAATAATTGAAGATGTTTATTGGAACAAGTCTCTGGGGAGAAGAGAACTTTTTTCTACAATGAACAAGAATATGCCATATTGGCTTAGTGAAGGAAACTGAGAGCTAAGAAAGTCTGAGTGAGCACATGAGACAACTCAGGTATAACAAGGAGCCTATTGTCTCTGCTGAGCAGCTGAATAAGAATCAGGATGCAAGTAAGAAGTTGTGAAATGAAACTCACTGTAGGCATTGTGGACATATGTGGGAAGAAGGTATAGGTAAGACATTAGGCCAGTCTTAGTTTCTAAACTTAAATGTCCATCTGGAATTACATGGGTGACTTCTAAAACTACAGGTGTGCAGTCAGGAAGGCCTGGGCCAATGTACTCATAGCAGATTGTAGATAAGAACAAAATGAGACATAATAGGGGAAAGGATGGCTCTCAGCAAGGCAGTAGATAGATAAGGGAAGGAACTAACAAGGCACATGCATGCCATGTGGTCTCACTCATTTATCCCTCACAACAGTGGTCCCTAACAAGTATGGGTTTCTCTATCTAATCCCCATTTATTCCTTCTCCTGCTTGCATTTGCAACCTCTGCCTTCGTACTGATGCATCTCTGAAACATTTACATGTTCTTACTCATCCCTTACTCCCCTTCTAACTGCTGCACCCCGACTTTATCATCTTCAAAGTCCTAATGCTCTGATTACCCACAAATGGTTATTTCATGCCAGTATACCCCTCCACTCCTACCATCTGTCTCCTGTGTCACCTTCTTTCTAAAATTGCTTTCACCAATGACAGCAGAGACCTCCTCTGGGTAAAATTGATTGCATGTTTTCCATTTTTTTTTTTTTACCTTACATGAATTTTTGGCCACTTTAACCTCTGAAATTCAATTTTAGATTTATTTGTCTAGCTACTTAATGAATATCCCCAGCCCTTCTATTTTATTTTATTTTATTTTTGTGGTACTGGGGTTCGAACCCAGGGCCTTGCACATGCTAGACAAATATTCTACCTTTGAGCTGAATCCCTAGTTCTTTTTATTTTATTTTGAGACAAGGTCTCATTAAGTTGCACAGACTGACTTTGAACTTGCAATTCTTGCACCCTAACCTCCTAAGTAGCTGGGATTATAGACCTATGTCACCATGCCCAGCCAACCCACAGTTGCTTTAAAACTCAAATTCAATGTATTCCAAGCTGAATTCATTCCCGCCCCCACCAGATCTGCTCCATGTTCTCTAGTTAAGTTATGTCCAAAGATATAAATGTGAAGTACTAAAAAAATTGTCATGTTATATATAAAGAAGTAAAGCTATGGG